CATTCATTCATTGTCATAGAAATGCAAAACTCTGCCGGTTGGCTGATCCGACTCGCTATTTATACCGCTTTCAGGATGAATTTGTGATCAAATAACCAGTACTAAATTATGCTGACTCGCTTTCTGCTATATTTTGTGGCTCTTCTAACAGTGGTCAAATTAACATCTTCAACACCCTCGCTTCACGTAGAGCCGCGTGAAATTTCACTTACTATTGGCGAAGACACTGCTGTTCGATTTTACACCACGTAAGTCATTAATGAACTTTTTGGTTTTGTAGTTCTTGTATTTTTTTTTTTTTGAAAATCTACCTAGTGCGTAAGGTACCGCATTTGTGATCCAGAAATTATTTTCGGGATGGGCTTAACATACACCAAAGAAATCTCGAAGCGCCTAAAGCTTTTGCGTACGAAGACTGACACTCGTTTCGATGGTAAATTGGTACCAGCGTATATCAGGAAGTCAAATCTCTTATCAGCTTGCTTCTGAGCAGTTCTTGAATGAAAGAGCCATAGCCTTACTAGCGGGTGCTTTTTCCCGCAGGCTCCTTTCGAGTGCCTCTACCTCTCGTAAAAAAGGGAGTTTCAACGGATTTTGGACTGATATGTTCCTGTATTTTTCAGGGATGAATTGCGGACAGCTGTTGAAATCGCATTGCAGCGATCGAGTTTGTTCGACGTCACACCGTATATTTTCCAACTGGACAATATTACTCAATCAGTTAAATTAGTTGTCACGGGTTTGAAGATAACAAGTTATGCAGTATTGGCAGTTGAAAAGTGTACTTACGTGAATGAAACATCAGAGTGCCCGTTCACGTATGATTTTTTTTTCCACTTTCCTGAACCTCTGCAAAGTTGAAAGTTGAATAATTTTACGAGCGATACAAGAACTGAAGGAAAAGCACGAGGAATAAGAGGAAGGATGGGGAAAGGAAGAATACACTGTTTTCACGGACAGAATCTCTTTTTGAATAGATCGGGAAAGGATTGAACCACTCGTCTTCACATCCGAACACAGCGTGCTAAACTACTGCGCCATCGAACACTGTGCTTCACGCACTTGCTGAAGCACATGTGTGCTGTACAGCACTCCCCTGCATCGCGTGTAGCACACCCTTTGAACAATTGCCAGCTTTTTGCGGGACTTCCGTGACAAATGTCATGTGACAAAAAATCGGTCTGGAAACGTATTAATAAGAACATTAAAATAATCATGATGCACCTTTTAGCGTAATTACGAAACAGTTTGACAACTTACACAATTTCTTGTTCAGATTCCTTGTTTTTTTGCCAAATTTTCGTATTTCAATAAATTTTCACCAGATTGGATAGCTTTTCATCTAATAACAATAGTAGCACTACGGAAGAATCGAAATATTGCAGCACAAACTGGAAATTGTCGCTTTTACAGCCGATATTACTTTAGGGCAGAAGCTGTAAAAGATTTCTCGTAATTTGACAGGCTGATCCATCTTGCTATTTTCCATCCCCCCAGCCCAGCAGGGTTGCATATTTTCTATTATTAGATACTAGCTTTGATTATTAGCTTCCAAGTATTTCCTTGCAGTTAATTTTTTTGCTAGATAATTTAACTGTCAGATTTAGGGAAATCAGAAGATGGATCATTTTACCAAATTATGAGACGTCTTTTCCAGTTGTAACCTAGCATCGGCTTGAAAGCGAGGTTTCATGGCGTTATCGCTTTTGTTGTACGGAGGTGAAACATAAATTATCACGTTTGTTGGGAACATTGCAGATACTCCTGGTTATGCCGAAACGGAATTCAATTTTTCAAATAAGCTTTAAATGAAGGAACATTGATAAATGTGTTATGAAGTGATTTTTCGGCAGCTAAATGCGTCATAAAATGGGAAACCCACACTGTCTTTGCCCTTTATACGAAATGAAATTTACGGAAACAACGTTCTGATGTTAATTATTTGCGGGAAATCATTTCAAGTGATTTCAGAAATTTGGATTTTGCGTTTGCCTCAGTGAAAGTGGTCCACAGTAGAGCACTTTCAATTGCCGTGATTGTTGTTGGTTGGATATATTTCGTTGCTTGGAGTATTTCATTCTATCCACAAATTTATCTCAATTTTAAAAGAAAAAGGTTTTATTTGGCTTGCTTATGGCCATCTGACTTCTGACCCTTGTTCGGAAAGGCGCTTTGTAATACAAGCAAACGTTTGTTTCGTATAGTTTTTTGAAAAATCCGGTAAAAAAATCGTTATTTTGGTCAGCTTTTATCAAAAAACAGATATTATAAACGAAAGGCCCATTAGAGATGCGTTCGACAGCTGGCTGCTTTTCAGAAGTATCAGGGACGACAGCGTGAAAATCCAGGAGTTCTTAAATTTGTCTACTTTTTCGTTCCGGATAATTTCATCATTTTTAGCACTCATTGAACGGTCATTTTTATTTGTAGTGTTGTTGGATTGAATTTCGACTTCTTGCTGTTAAATATTATTGGTTTCTCATGCTATACACTTTATAATGGCTTTATGTATTTCGACAGTAGAATACAGGTAATCATTTTAAGAGGCATTCTTTTAAACTAAAACCGATTTTTTTTTGCAGTTTTCTTTTGTTTATATCTCTTTTAATATTTACATACAAAAATATCAGATTTGCTTGAGCATTCAGTATGTAGCCCATGTTAATAATTTTACTGGAATGCTCCCACACGCTGGACAGAGCTATGCCCGATCTTCTGAGTTCTGAGTTGTATGCTTCCAGTTGATACCTCTTCGCCTATTCGATATGTGAACACCAACTTTCTGGAGGTCACCCGAGTGATCGTTTACTTTCTCACTGGTGTCAACAAAACGAACAACTTGCCCTGCCTATCAAATTTTATTTTCTTGCATGTTGCGAAGATCTTTCGCATGCCATTCATCTGACGGGGAGTCTGATTTGTTTATATGGTCACAGAGCGACATACTAAGCATCCTTCGCTCCGCGGCTTGCTCTGTATCAACGAGCGCTCGCTCCGTACCAGCCAGTGTTCGTTTCTCAGTTTCGTCAGTGACCATGTTTCGCATCTGTTCGTAATCGCCTTCAGTATATTGATGTTGAAAAAATACACATACGCAGATACAAAAAAGATAAATGCACGCCATATGTAGTGCATTCCGCCCAAAATCGCATATTCCGCTCTCTGAAACATTCTTAATTTTGATAATTTAATCGAAATTAAGCATATTTCAAAGTCAAAAGGTGTTATATATGGTGCACGTACATCGAACAAACAGTGGATATTGACTATAGTCATATAGCTCAGGATCGAAAGGCCTAGTGTAGCTGCGCCGATTCTCTAGGTGCACCTTAATGAAATCACTGCTGTTGGCTAGCCTAGATGGTCTTGGTATTCTTGATATTATGTTTGGGGAAAAGTAAATCTAAATTATATGGTTTGATAGCAGTCTGTTCACATCAAAATACCGCTTATCCGGCGATAAAGAATAAAGTGTCATATAAAGAGTGTTTTGGATTTTTCAGGAGATATACGAAAAAACATATCCTCATAGCTTAATCCCAGTGCTAATGAATGATGTTGTTTTCGCCGCACATGCTCTTCTTGCTTGCCTCTTCACTGCTCTACAGTGCTTCATTTATAAAGTTTGTTTCATTTTTCACATAATGCACGTGTGGCCGAAGATTCTTTGATATTCATGATAATCCTGGAGTAATATACTCGAAGGTCAGTTGTATACTTACTGAACTGGATTATCACAGTTAGATGGTGTAGGCTTGGAAGAAGTTGACAGCTGCATCTCTCTTAACTGGGAATTAAATATGTGCAGGAACTTGGGACCTGAGAATTCAAGTAAAAGAGCTGGCAGTTGGTGCAAATTTCACAGCATCATCGGTATTCTCAAAGTGTTGAGTCGGATCTAGGTTGTTTGGGCGAGTACTAGCACACCTGATGGTCAGCGTGCCTCCTGACTTCCGCCTTGTAGCGAGAAAGGATAACTAGCTCAGCGGTTCTCACAACAAAAGTGCTTGGCAAACTCTTTAATTATCAAAATAATTAAAGAGTTTGCCAAGCATTTTTGTTGCTTCGTCTCGAACTTTGTGACTCTTTGGTCTTGATGAAGAAGTACCTAACCAAAAAATGATTGATAACTAACTGTAAGTAGATAGAATCAAATAAAAGTAACGTATAATATAAATATAGATGGGGAGAAATGATAAATTTATTTAAAAATTTTCAGCGTGGCAATCAGCGTGTTTCCTATACTTGCTGGGGTCTCTCCTCACTGTTTGGATTGGTTGCCGTAATAGCTCTTGCACTTACATTATTTAATGTCATAAATGGTCTGCATTTCATTATGACCCTATCCTATATCAAAATGGCAGTCACTCTGTGTAAATATTTCCCTCAGGTAAATTTCACCTATTTTTAACTGAGAGCAAAAAAAAAAACGTTTACTCAGAGAAGCTTCACAACGGGCAATTTTGTTGATTTCAATTCCTAATTTTCGTTGGATTTCTCGTTCAAAAGTTGTATTCTTTTTCGCGAGCACCATTCAGTGCTGAGCGGAATCCCGCTCTGTTCAAATTCTGAATCACACATGACATTTATAAATCCAGTTGATTTACTGTCACACCTGTAATCTGGACGTAATAAAAGAATGTCACGGCTTGAGCAAAGTCAAAGATTGACAGATCCGGCTATACTTGGATGGCACGGTTTTGTCGGCTTGATTAGCGGTTGATTTCGATTATGATATTATTTACTGGTATTTCTACAGTTACTATTGCCATGTTTATTGTTATTAGCATCGTTATTATTAACATTATTATTATTATTGTTATTATTATTGCCGTTATTATTTTTCATAATGTAGGCATATATATCTCACGCTCCTATAAAGGCAGTTCCTGTTTGATTCATTTTCGATGTGTTTAGGCCTATATGAATTTTCGACGGAAAAGTACGGTTGGCTGGTCAATAGGGAATGTTTTATTGGATTTCTTAGGCGGATGTATGGATATTGTCCAAATGATTTTGCAAGGAGCAAATACAGGTTAGCTTTAAACTCCTGCTTTACGACGGTGCACTGAACATGTATCTCGATAATGAAACGTAGAAAAAGGAAAAATTTTGTAGAATATCGCAACCACTGAAATGTACTTAGAATGCTCTAACTAATAGTCTGGTTCTCCATCTTTGCAGCTGGCAAATTTTTTAATTGCTTTGACCAATGCTTTATTGCGCAGTGGTCAGCTTGCTAGCGATACTGAAGTTTGTTTCGTTTCCTGAGTGGATTATCATATCAGCGATTCATCCAACAGAAGCGCCTAGCAATGCTTCAGCCCTTTTGGGTATAATTATTAGGCGGCCTTACCCTTGTCCTTGAATCATAGGCGGATCCAGGGCGGTCTTTTGGGGCAGAGGGGGGAGGACGATTTCTCGCCTCACTTTCTTCCTTCGTCACTACACCCCCTCCTCCTCACCACACTACTCCTCCTCCCCAATTTTCGAGCGTCTCATTACATTTCTTCCCC